GGGGAATAAATTTACTTGGCGACGAGGTCGAACGGCAAATAATTTTGTGGCCAAACGCTTGGACAGGGTTTTGTGTTGTCCACACTCACGGCTGAAGTGGCAAGAGGCTGTCGTCACACATCTACCTTTTCTTGCCTCTGATCACGCTCCTCTGTTCCTTCAGCTCTCCCCGGAGACGAAGGGTAACCCGAGACGCAGACCGTTTCGGTTCGAAGCGGCATGGTTGAGTCATGTTGGTTTCAAGGAGCTGTTGTTGAACTCTTGGAATGGCAATATATCAACATCAGATGCGTTGAAAGGATTACAAGAGGATCTGAAGAAGTGGAATAAAGAAATCTTTGGAGACATATTAAAAAAAAAGGAGAGCTTGTTACAGGAAATTAAAGCTGTTCAAGATCAATTGGATTTACACCAAACAGATGTTCTTTTGAGTAAGGAGGAAGAGTTAACAAAGGAGATTGATGTAGTGCTGGAACAAGAAGAGCTCCTTTGGTATCAAAAATCTAGGGAGAAGTGGGTAGCGTTGGGTGATCGCAACACCAAATATTTCCACACTTCGACTATAATCAAGAGAAGAAAGAACAGAATTGAAATGTTAAAGGATGAGGAGGGTAGATGGGTCTCTAATCCACAGGAACTAGAGGGCTTGGCGATGGAATTTTATAAGAAGCTATATTCGACGGAGGGTGTGGATATGAATGCTGCGGGTTTGTTGCAAACTGGTTTTGCGAAGCTTTCATATGCAGAGATCACAGAGTTGAATAAGTCAGTGTCAGCCACAGAAGTTGAGAAGTCGATCCGTAGTATGGGAAGATTTAAAGCACCTGGTCCGGATGGGTATCAACCGGTGTTTTACCATGAATGTTGGGATGTTGTTGGTCAGTCAGTGGTACGCTTTGTGCTTGATTTCTTCAGAACAGGCGTATTGCCAGATGAGACTAATGATGCACTAGTGGTGTTGATCGCTAAGGTTGCTAAACCGGAGACGTTGGCGCAGTTTCGACCGATAAGCTTATGTAATGTCTTATTTAAGACTATTACTAAAGTCATGGTTATGAGACTTAAGACGGTGATGCCTAAACTCATTGGTCCCGCCCAAGCGAGCTTCATCCCGGGCCGATTAAGTACCGATAATATAGTTGTGGTCCAAGAGGCGATACACTCGATGAGACGCAAAAAAGGAAGGAAAGGTTGGATGCTCCTCAAACTAGACTTAGAGAAAGCCTATAACCGCATTCGATGGGACTTTCTTGATGAGACACTTAAGGTGGCAGGGTTTTCGGAGGATTGGAGACGTTGGATAATGCAATGTGTGGAGGGGCCCTCGATGACGGTTTTATGGAATGGAGAGAAGACTGAGCCGTTCAAACCGGAAAGGGGACTGCGACAAGGCGATCCTTTATCGCCATACCTTTTTGTGTTATACTTGGAACGGTTGTGTCATTTGATTGAATTGGCGGTTGATTTGAAAGACTGGAAGCCGATTAGTCTCTCTAGAGGAGGACCAAAATTATCTCATATTTGCTTTGCAGACGATTTAATTCTCTTCGCTGAAGCATCGGTGGCTCAAGTTCGTGTGATTAAGAAAGTTTTGGAGAAATTCTGTTTTGCGTCAGGTCAGAAGGTGAGCCTGGAGAAATCGAAAATCTTCTTTTCTGAGAATGTAAGTCGGGATCTATCAAAGCTCATTAGTGATGAAAGCGGCATCAAAGCGACTCGTGATTTGGGGAAGTATTTGGGAATGCCGGTGTTACACAAAAGAATCAATAAGGATACTTTTGGTGAAGTATTGGAAAAAGTTTCCTCGCGGTTGTCTGGCTGGAAAGGAAGGTTCCTAAGCTTTGCTGGGAGGTTAACGCTTACGAAATCTGTATTGTCATCGATACCGGTTCACTCGATGAGCACGATTTCACTGCCTAAAGCAACACTGGACTCGCTTGATCGGGTGTCAAGATCCTTCTTATGGGGTAGTACAAATGAGAAGAAGAAGCAACATCTTGTAGCATGGCAATGGGTCTGTTTACCAAAGCATGAAGGTGGGCTGGGTATAAGAATCTCACAGGATATGAATAAAGCACTACTTGCTAAGGTAGGATGGAGGTTACTGAATGATAAGGTGAGCTTGTGGGCGCGGGTATTACGGTCCAAGTATAAGGTGGGACTGATTCATGACAAATCGTGGCTGGTGGTGAAGAGCTTATGGTCTTCAACCTGGCGAGGAGTGAGTATGGGCATACGGGAAGGATTGATGCCAGGAATAAGCTGGGTCCTTGGAGATGGTAAGGAGATTCGATTCTGGACAGATAAGTGGCTAATGAATAAGACTCTAGCTGAAGTGGTGGTCGGGAATTTACCAGATGGGTATGAGGAGACTCGGGTTTGTGACTTATGGAGTAACGGGATGGGTTGGAATTTTTCTCAGCTCAGCCCATACATCTCAGAGAGCACGAGACTGAAGTTGACCTCGGTGGTACTTGACAATGTCACCGGAGCTATAGATAGACCATCGTGGGGTGAGAATTCCGATGGGAGGTTCACGGTTAGATCAGCGTACGCATTGCTAATTAGAGACGAGTCACCGCGACAGGATTTGGGGAAACTCTTTGATCGGGTTTGGAAAGTAAAAGCTCCGGAGAGAGTCCGAACTTTTCTCTGGCTCGTGTTGAACCAAGCAATCATGGTAAACTCGGAGCGAGCCCGCCGTCATCTCTGTGCATCGGGTTTGTGTACGGTGTGTAATAGTGGAGAGGAGACCATAATTCATGTGTTGCGAGACTGCTTGTCAATGGATGGAGTGTGGAGAAGACTTGTTCCCAGAAGGAAGCAAACATCCTTTTTTGCTACCTCTCTACTTGAGTGGTTATACGAGAATTTGGGTGATAGTGCGGAGAGGGATAGTTACTCTTGGGCTACATTGTTTGCGGTGGCTGTTTGGTGGGGGTGGAAGTGGCGCTGCGGGGACATCTATGGCGGGATGGGTAAATGTCGTGATCGGGTTCAATTCTTAAAAGATCTGGCAAAGGAGATTTTTGTGGCTCATAAAGCCGTGGCAGGGGATGGTATCACAATCGTGAGGGAGACGAGATTGATAGCGTGGACTCCGCCAGTAGGGGGTTGGACCAAATTGAACACGGACGGAGCATCGAGAGGTAACCCGGGGTTGGCGACTGCGGGAGGAGTCTTGCGGGATGGAAACGGGGACTGGTTGGGAGGCTTTGCTTTGAATATTGGTATATGCTCCGCCCCGCTTGCGGAACTTTGGGGAGTTTACTACGGTCTGTACATTGCGTGGGAGAAGGGCATCACGCGATTGGAGTTGGAAGTAGACTCTGAGATTGTGGTCGGTTTTTTGAAGACAGGGATAAGTGATTCTCATCCGCTGTCTTTCCTAGTACGTTTGTGCTATGGCTTTATTTCGAGGGACTGGATAGTCCGTATTGGTCACGTGTATAGGGAAGCTAATCGTCTTGCCGATGGATTAGCGAACTATGCGTTTACTCTTCCGTTGGGTTTTCATTCTTTTGTAGCTAGCCCGGACTGTGTTCGTCCGATTGTGCTAGATGATGTTATTGGGTCCTCGCGGCCTCGGGATGTTCGTTTGTAGTCAATTTTTTATTTTTAATAAATAGGGAGACATTGTCTCCCCCTCTCTTACCAAAAAAAAAAATCTTAGGTTGAAAAACTTGAAAGCAGAGGCTTTCAAATTTCCAAGTGCATGATGTTTCTGTTTTTTCCATATGCTTGAAATAAAATTTCAAGTTGGTGTAATGCTTACCAAACCAATATAATGGTATTCCTCCGATTCTAACCTTTTTCAAATAGTTTTTTTGCAGATCATAATAGAAAATGTAAAAAGGGTGGTAAAGGAAAGGTTTATATGCAAAGATAACCTCACCGTTTTGTGGTGTACCTTCCACCGTCAGATTAATGTTGTTATCGAGTAAAAAATGCACCTGACAATAAGGCTGCAAAACCAGAGATTTCCTTGACCATTTTCCAGTATATTCAAAGAGCCATAAATCCACCAAACCTTTGCATATAATTAAGATGGGTATGATCAATAATCAGAGCCGGTCCGGAGGGCAAGCAAGTGAAGCCATCGCTTAGGGTCTCACATTATAAAATATTTTTTTTGGGAGAATTTTTTTTTTTTACATTAACAAAAAGGCCTAAATTTTTAGTTATGCGTAGGGTATCAAAGAAAATTTTGAAACTTTGGACCGGCCCTGTCAATAATAGCTGGCTTTCCACCATACTCTATAAAACCCACAAGCTTACCTACATGATGAGAACATATTGAACTCTTCAGATCTAACGTCAAAACTGGCAATGGCTAGGGGAGACAAACCAGTGGAAGCCATATAATATATAACTCCGTTGATGCACACTCCTTGTCTTGTAGGAAGGTGAGGTTGATCAAACTCAATTCTTTTCCACGAACCTCCAGCTTCTAGTACATAAACCCAATGCTCAGATCATGTTATCCTCTCAATATCTTTTGAGGATATCACAACAGTGCAGACTACTTTGTATTGATCAAGAACAAGATCGTGTCCGAAAAAGTAGAGGACATTCTTACTAAATTCTTCTTGGCCAAAGATGTTGGATTTGACGGCTGGTAAGGTCACGTTTTGTCTGGTGGTGGGATTATAGATACAAGCCTGTCTACGTACAAACAATGTATAAAATCAAGCAGCGTAGAATAACCATGTTACGTCCTCCAATCCCTCGCTTGGTCAGAGCTGCTTGGAAACACTTAGGACTACTAGACGATGATGATAACAGTACAGACGACTCGACGGGGTTTTGGCAGATCGATCTCTAATGAAGTACATACGTGGTTGTCCACCAAACTCATGTATTATGTATAGATCACTAAATGCTGTAGTTTAAACGAAACGCGATTAAATTGTAGAATATTATTATCATATTGATATATATTACTCAAAACATTTATTATTATTTTTGGTTCACATAAATAAAGTTCTCAATTCTCCGAGGTTCTTAAACATAAATCAAACAAACCAAACTTCGGAAGCCTGCTTCCTTTAATGTCAATAAATAAAAATTCAAAAACCATAGCTAAATGGGCAAACAAAACCCACTAGTGAACAATCTCTTGAAAAGGTCAATTTTCCAAGAGTTGTGCACAAAGAACTTGTACATGCTTCGAAGTTCTCTGTAACATCTCCGCTTTCGCAAATACCACCATCGCTTGACTTTCTTCCATCCCATTCGGCACATAAAGCTCTACCCTTTCCAATGCATTTCCACCCCCGCTCGCTAATCGAATCAAATACCTCAATACATTTAACTCGTTTGAGGAACCACCAAAGTCCCTTACCACCACGACCTTCAGTGTCTTCCTTAGACTCTCACATGTTCTGTTCTGCATCCAAAACGTTTTCGGATCGATCCCTTCATATGACGAATTTCTCTACAAAATAATAAATGAAAATCATGCATGTAAGTATTAATAAATGTGACTACTCTGTTGCATATATGTATAGATATCTTACCTGGAAAGGACGTGAAGGAAGAATCTCAAAACTTAGAGTCTCCAAGTTTGGACAGTTCTTGAGAAGAATAATGATTCCATTCAACTCCTTCGTACTCATCTTCGTTCTTAGCACCAAGTGTCGTGTTTCCATAGGTTGAAGCATATAAAATGGCTTTTTACATTCTCGGATTGTCTTCCATAAGAAAAGAAACACATGTCAATATCAAAAATACATTAATAACGATCTATATATATATATATACTATTAGGGAATAAATGGTTCAAATAAATCATCTTCTTCAAAATGACTTTAATAAACTAAATAACGTGAGGGAAATAATTTGTTCAGATGCAAAAATGTTATTTGGATAAACCTATGTTCAGATCTAAAAACTAATGCACATATTTAACCTGGTAAATTCTATTCTGGTTTTCAACAAACTACTACTATAAAAGAATTCAAATATTAATTTTAAGATGTGAACACTTAAACATACCTGGAGGATATAAGGGCAAACGGCTAAGGTGCTAGCTGCTCTGAGATCGTTGAGGATACGAGATATAACTTCACCAGATATTCTTGTCGACTGAGTCGGTTGATCATACTCACGCTCTTCTCCAAAATCCAAGTAGACCTTTGGTATGATCACATTCATGATGTCGAAGTAAAAGTCAAAAACTTGGCCTGAGTACTTTAAGCTGTGTATACGAGGCAGTTCAAAGGAACATTGCATGTAACTGAAGTCTAAATTCTCAAGGACTAGCTCTCTAAACTGCCCGGCCATCCACGTCATATCAACGCCCCAGCATTCTTTGATACTTAGACTCAGGAGGGAAGTAGCTTTTGATAGTAAAGATTGGAGGTTTTCAAGTCTCATCCAACCAATAGAGAGTCTTCTTAGCAATACCGGGTTTGTGAATCTCGAAGGATCAAACTTGCACCCGTAGATCTTCAGTGACTCAAGGGTTGTTAGACTGTAAACGCTTTTGGGCAATGTAACGATAAAATGAAGATATGATACACAGACTGATGATATATCATTATAGTTTCTCCAAGCGGGGTTTGACAAATCAATGACTAGATTCTTCACTCGTTTGGAGACAGCGTATTCGATCAGAGCCTCGATCTTATGCTCGAAACCCACCGGATTGGAGAAACAAATCTCGAAGCTTTCGACGACCTGATCTTGAATTCTAGAGAGCCAATTATCCGCAAAACTAAAAAATGAAGCACAAGCTGCAAATCTCGAATATTCACCAGTGATATAAGGACTCACGAAATCAGATTCCCTAAAAGAAAGGTTTCTGGTCTCCTGACAGAGATACCTCCACCTCCTGGAGAGAGCACTGGTTCTTACGCATTCCTTAAACGGCAAGAAAGAGATGATCACAATTAAAAGAACGTCGGGAAGACTTGATAATCTGTCTTGTTGAATTGAATCCATTGTAAGAGAAATGTGGTGAGTTTCGAAAGAAGAGATATGTTTGTGAATTGTGATATGCTCAAGTGACAGAGAATGTTAATTGGCTCCTCTATATATTCTTTTGAATAAATTTCGTGATTTTTTGGTTTCATATGGAAGTTTTTTAACCTAGTAAACGGAGAGAGACGTGTTGAATAAAACTTCCACATGTGACATAGAAAGTTACTCAAAAAAAGGAAGATAATCTACTATAAATTAGTATTTGACAGTGAGAAACAACTGTAAATTTATACAGAAACATAGGTTTGGTTGATGCAAAAGTCGATGATAGAAATGGAAAATATTTGAACTCATCTTATAGATTTGTTTGCCACATCGTCACGACTCATCTTCGAAGATATAGTGTTTGGTTCAGACTTAACTAGTGACTCCTCTTCCTATGTTTTAGTTTGATTACTTTTAAACCGGTTTAGTTCAGTTTTGGTGTCTAGTTTTGTTAGCCCTAAAACAATATTTTAGTTTTCAAAAATCAAAGAAAATTATTAAATATATAAAAACAAATATTATATAATGTTTCAAAAAGATGACCAAGTCCTCATTATTCATAAATCAAAGCAAAAGAAAACATCACTAAATGGTTCAAACAAAACACACTAATGAGAAGTCTTGAATATGCCAACTTTTCAAAGGTTGTGTACAAGAACCTGTACAGCCCCTGAAATACTCTGTAACATCTCGGCTTCCTCATGTGCCAACATCCTTTGACTTTCCTCCATACTATTATGCATGTAAAGCTCCACTCTTTCCAACATAGACCCATCCGCATGCCCACGTCTGGACTGAATCAAAAACTTCAATACATTTAGCTCATTAAAGTGACCACTATAATTCCTTACCACTACCACTTTAAGTGTCTTAGGAAGAGACTTGTAGGTAAGGCTATTTTGCCAACATGTTTTTGGACAGATGCCACAATATGACTTAGTGTACTGCAAAATAAACGATGAGCTTTAGAAAAAAATCATACACAATAATGTGACTATTAATCTATATTCAATACTATATAAGTATATAATCTTACCGAGAACTTGCTTCGACGGATGATATCGAAAGTTAGTGTTTCTAGGTTCGGGCAATTATCAAGAAGGAGCTTAATCCCCTTAAACTCCATGACATGCATCCTCATTCTCAGCACCAAATGCTCTGTATCCATAGGACGAAGTAAACTTGACGGATCTTCACATTCTTGGATAGACTTCAAAAAGAAAAAAAACACACATATTCCGATCAAGACTAATTTGTCTAACAGTCTTATATACATATCAAATTTAATGTGATCGCTTTAAGGTATTAGATAAGGAAACTACATAACTAAACCATTTACTTTATAGTCACTAGGCTACTGAAAAGTTTCATACCGTAGGACGTAGAAACACTTTGTTCAGTTCTCAAAGATATGTTAATAACGTTAAAATGTAATGTAAATTTATGTTAAGACTTCAATATACCTGAAGGAGATAAGGGCAGACACTTAAGGTCCTCGCACCTCGAAAACTGTTAAGGAAGCCAGAAAGATCTGTTCCATCTAATTTTGTTCTTCGATTCGGTTTATCGTATTCGCCCTCTGCGCAGAAGAAGTCCAAGTAGACTTCTTTTATTATCCTATTCATTCCCTTGACATCGAAGGAGAGAACTGAGCCTGAGTACTTGAAGATCTCTACATTAGGCAGGTCAAAGGAACAAGCCTTTTTAGGGAAGAAGTCGGAGTTATCGAATACAACTTCTTTCATATCTCCGGCTATGTTTTTGATATCAACACTCCAACAGTAATCAATACTTAGACTTTTGAGCGTAGGAGAGTTTGATAACAAAGACTCGGCCTCTGTGAAGTTGATCCAACCAATAGAGAGCTTTCTAGGCAATCCCGAGTTTGTGAATTTCGAAGGATCAAACCCGCACGCGTAAATCTTCAGTGATTCGAGGGTTGTTAGACTGTAAACGCATACGGGCAATTTCACAGCAAGATAGGCATACCAAGACGCACTGCTATTGATTGTCCAAGAAGGGTCTTTGAAATCAATAACCAGGTTCTTGACTTGTCTTGACACTGCAAATTCGATCAAAGACTCGATCTCTGCCATAAAGCCTAATGGAAGGGAGAAACAAATCTCGAAGCTTTCGATGTAACGACCATGATATCTAGAGATCCATTGACTCATATAGCCAACAAACGAAAGCCTTTTGGATTTTTTGTCGGATACAGAGTGGTCGACATACTCGGATTCATTAAATGCAATGTTTCTTGTCTCTCGACAGAGGTAACTCCACCTCGTAGAGAGTACACTGGTACTTAAACATTCCTTGAAGGACAAGGAAGAGATGATAATAATCAGAAGTGTATCGGGTAGATTCGATAATCTGTCTGATTGGATACTTGAAACTATTCTCTTAGAAGTCATCTCTTTCAATGAAAATCATGCAATGGATCAAATGAAAATCGTCAGTGAAGTCATTTCATTTCTAAAAACATGTCTGAATCTATTGATTTAAAAATGCAATCATTTCTTAAATATAAGAACAACTGACGCACCTGAAACTTTGTCCTCTTGTGGTTCTGCCTGTTCAACTTCTCAGGATTTTTTGTTTATTTCTCGAAGATTATTGAAAGTTTTTCTTAATCAATTTGTAATTTTATAAATCTGATGAGTCAAAGTCAGAGGGTGAATTTGGGAAATGTTTTAGAAGGGAAGAAATATTTAGGTAAATGAATATGCTAGTGTAAACGATAAGAGTAGGTGATGGCTATGGGCTCCCATGGTTATGTATTTCAAAACCATGTCTTAAAATCCTCTCTCATTTTCCGAGTTATAGAGCAAACAAATTATTTGTTAAGTAAGAACCTTATTTGGTTAAAATCATATCCCAACTTAAAAGTTTAAAGTCTTTTACAAGTAAAAGTCTTAATTTGGCTAACTTATTTGGATTTTTTTTTTTTTTGAAATAGGCTTTTATTTGGTATTATTATTAACCTAAGATGCATTTTAATTGATTATACATTTTTGTGGTCAGAAATTTGACCAACTTTAATATTACAAAGGGAATCTAGGAAATCCCTTAATTTGCAGGATATTTTACCTTTTTAAGGAATGGAATTTGTAAGGGGGGATTTTATCTTCGATAATTTTGTTCGTTTGTCTATGCAATGGATGTAAAATATTGCAAGTTTATATAACATCAAAATAATAATAAAAGATGATATTTCTTTCGAAACAATTAAAAATATTATTAGCTTCACGAACTAAAACACATTATATACTATATACATGCTAACTAAAAATATATATGTATTGCTAAAAAAAATATGTATTGCTGTATATACATCAAAAATGATATAATATGTTACTATATGCACGAACAAAAAAAAAATATCTCCTTCGCTCCAGAGTCTCTAAATATCAAACAATGTTGGCCTTGATATCATGTGGATAGCCAGGCAGTTATGAGTTATGACTATGAGAACTAGTCCTCGAGAACTTCGAGTTAGAGAAGAAATATGATAAATTAAGTCAATCATCTCAAATAAACGTTAAAATTCTTAATTTCTTAACGGTTTTCTAGCAACTAAGATTTCAAAAATATTCCTTTAATTTCATCCCGTGAAAACAAAATATACCAAGAAGTTTAATAGAATTAGGATTCTTCTCAATAATTGCCCAAATTTGGAGACTCTAACTTTCGATATTCTTCCTCCACATCTTTCACCGGTAAGATTTCTATATATGCAATAGAGAGTAATCATTTTCTTTTTTAATAATAAAACACATAATTTTTATCCAGTATTTTGTAGACGACTTTGTCATATTCTTGCATCGATCCTCAAACATATTGGATGCAGAACATAACCTTCAAACACTTATGTATTATGTTCTGCATTCAATATGTTCATAGATCAATGCCAGCATACAACAAAGTCGTTTACAAAATATCAAATGAAAATGATGAGATTTACTACTAATAAAATGATAAAATCCATAATAGTAATGTGACTATTCTTATTTCATATATAGTAAATTTCTTGTTTTGAAAGAGTTTGGAGGAAGAATATCAAAAGAAAGTGTCACCAAATTCGAGAAATTATTGAGGACCCTAATTCGCATAAACTTCTTTGGATGCATGTAATACTCTTCCCTACCACACAGACAAGAAGTGTTACATATTTAGCCTTGTCAAAAATGCTTTCGCTAAAACTTCACCAACAACAAAAGCTTCGAATCGCAATTCCTGAAACTTTTACTAATCTAAAAATAAGAAAAAGAAGAGTGAGTAAAACAAGAAGAATGTTGCTAGCTACCTACAAAGGAAAAATATGAAATAGATAGGTCAGGGATCTCGATTCTGTTTTTAACATTTTTCTTTTACCTGTTTGAGTTCTTAGAAATGAATAATATATATACTAAAAAAATATTCCAGGTTTGCTAATACTGCGTTCAAGCCTACCAACTTATTTGGTATTATATTAACGTAATATGTTTTGACTATATGTTTGTGGTCAAGAATTTGACCAAACATTTTTTTTTAAGAAGCTTATTAAATCCTTTACTTTGACGGATATGTTAAGGAAGAGGAATATATTGACCGAGAGATTAAGGCATGCATTTTAACTGAACCAAACCAACTAAACCTAAAATGATCCAAAATCGAACCATAATCAATGTACAAACTGTTTGGTTAAGCTTTTATCAACCCGAATAGTTCGGTTCAGTTCAGTTTTAAATCGAACTAAATACATAAAACAATGTGTTTATCTAATTATTTTTTAAATAATATTGTAATTCTAAACCTAGCCAACCTTGAAATTTTGAAGGTTTTTAAATAGTCTCTTAAATTAGAGACTTTTTTTGCAAAACAAATTAAACTCCCGGGGGTGGGGGTAAAAAAATATGAAATTTTTGGTGAAATTTTTGGGAGCTCTAAACCCATGTTTTATTTTACTAGGCTTATGACCGACCCTGATTCTAAGTATACGTTTAATATAAAAAAAAATTGTTTAGTTTTCCCTTATTCTAAATCCACGTTTCCACAAAACACAAATTTCAAAAGAAGAGATGGATAGACTATGAAAGATTATAGATCGAGTCTTTGAATTTTTAAAGGTGTTTTTATGTAAAATAATTGAAAAGGATTTAAAATTACAGCAAAAATAATGAACAAAGTAATTGTTAGAAGGAAAAAAGATGAGTAATTTACTAGACGGATCCATCAGTCACACATTCGGTGGAACACTGTTGTTTTCTACGTTTTGTGGATTATAAACTCTATGTTTTAGGATTTAGTTTCTTGAGATTTTTCGTTGTCCGTTCTGTCGGCCTTATAACTAGAAGAGTTTTCAACTCTTGCTACTTGCTAGTGTATCTCTATACTATTAAAAGAGAAGTACAAATATAAATGGGTCGGGTCAAAATCAGAAAATTGACCCGAAATTCTGAAATTGGATCTTTGAAAATTTTGGAATATAAATTCGAATTAATAATGAAAAATCGAACTAAAATCAAATGTTTATGGAAATCAAATAAAATTTGATTGTACTTATGGTAACTAATTATAAAATCATATTTTGAACAATATTATACATTAATTACGTATAATATATTTGTTCATATATTTTTGGAACTAATTCCATAATAGTCAACGTTTTTCTCATTAATTTTGCTTATTTTAGCAGTTATCATTAATTAAAAGATATCTTACTTGCTTCTAGAGATTTCTAGAAAATTTATCACAACTAACCCATCTATTTTATAAATTAAATAGATTTTTTTATTTTGGTCATATAAATTAAATAGATATAAAATCTATGTAACTAATTTTAATTTAATTAGATTAAATCGAAATTATGGTATTTTCATACTTATAGCTTACCAAAGAAGTTTAATTTTCAAATTATAAAGATGTCTTGAATATGATTTTTAGAATTATTCAACAAGATGATAAATATTTATTAAATTTTGCGAATCATGAAAAATATTAATTATTTTTAATCATTATATTTCACCTTTCAATCTCTCATATAACAAATAAGATACATATTCTATTATTCATATGTCCAAACTCCATTGTGTTGTATGACTAAATAATATTTCCATTAGAACTGTCAAAACGAGTTGATTCATCCCGTTGAGCCTGTTTTGCAATAGGCAAAATATATTTTGCCATGTAGTTAGTCTGTCCGCACGACCCGCGGGTAGCATATATGAAACACAAACCCGTCGCGCGAATGTATGCTGATTTACGGGGTTATCCGTGGATTTTGTTTAAACAATTTTAGAGTAACCAAAATTTTAAATTCTACTAAAATAAATAAATTAGAAAAAATTTAGAGATAATAATCTTTTATATCATTATATTTATAAATATTATAATTTCATTTATTAAAAGTTTTTTAAACTACCACATGTTGAATAAATTATATTTTTATCAATAAATACTATCATGCGGGTTGATCCGCCAACCCGCGGATGAAAAGCGATGACCCACTGCAAATCAATCCATGTGGCCCGCTTATTTGCGGATTTAATATATTTTCCCAAATCTGCCCAATAGTGAGATGATTTGGGTTCGACCCGCGGTTTTTGACCTATTTTGACTGCTTTAATTCCCATGATTCGTCTAATTTTTGAATTCTAAAACACAAAATTCTATTTTGTAAATCATAATTAATATGATTGGTTTAATTATAAACAATTTAATATTTTTTTTACAATTTGTTATTAAGAATATTTATAAGTACACTAAACGATTCGTTCTACTAAAAACACGCACAATATTAAAATCAACGTATGTAAATCAATATTCTCCCGCGGTGGACCGCGGGTCCGATCCTAGTTTTTCATGAAAAAAAAAAAAAGAATGGTAGGTGATGATGGCTCAATTGAATATGTTTTTCAAAACCATGTGTTATATTACTATATCCCACTTTCCTAGTCCTACCAACCTTCTCTTTTTTTTTTCTTTTTTTTTCTCTTGGTCTGCTTACATGTGTCTGCTTATACATCTCCAAAAAGATATACGTAGATATCTAAAAATTCAAATTTAAATATTTGTGATTTTCTATATTAAATTTTAGTATTTTTTTTTACAAATAACCAAATTTATCAACGCAGATTTAGGATATTACAAATATTTAGCTCAACAATAGTTTAATATGAATTTTGTGGTCAGAATTTTGACCAATTCTTTTTGAAAGAAAAAAAAAATCTATCTATAAAAACAGATTTACTTTGAAAGGATATTTGAAGGAGAAGAATAATATATTTGACTCAGAGAGATTCATTCAGTAATGGCAGCCTCAGGCACCGCTGCTACTTTCAGAGCCTCCGTTTCTTCTGCTCCTTCTTCTTCTTCTTCCCAATTGACCCATTTGAGATCATCACCCTTCAAAGCTCTCAAATTTACGCCTCTGCCATCGTCTCGCTCCAAGTCATCCTTCTCCGTCACCTGCACTATCGCCAAAGACCCGCCTGTTCTCATGACCGCCGGATCTGACCCGACCCTGTGGCAACGACCCGATTCGTTCGGTCGGTTTGGGAAGTTTGGTGGGAAGTATGTACCTGAGACTCTTATGCACGCGCTCTCTGAGCTCGAATCGGCTTTCTATGCTCTCGCCACCGACGATGATTTCCAGGTAGACCTTGTTCTTCGTGATTTCGATAGAAATGAAACCTTTTGCGTTGTGGGTCGTTGGAATTATAGCGTTATCATTTGCAGATTGAGATAAAGTTTGGATCTTGTTGATGGGAAATGTAAATTCTAGGGCATTTGAATGAAATTGGTTCTGTTCATAGATGGAATGGTTAGAGATTATGGGAAACAGAGAGAAATGAAATTTGGAATCTTGTTTTGGTTTGGTTTCTCTGGTTCAATGTCTGATTTATGTTTTCTGTGTGTTTTGTCAATGAATCTTTGATAGAGGGAGTTGGCAGGGATCTTGAAAGACTATGTGGGTAGGGAAAGTCCTCTGTATTTTGCAGAGAGGCTTACGGAGCATTACCGGCGCGAGAATGGCGAAGGGCCGCTTATATATTTGAAGAGGGAAGACCTGAACCACACAGGTGCTCACAAGATTAACAACGCTGTGGCTCAGGCTCTTCTCGCCAAGCGGTTGGGGAAGAAGAGAATTATTGCTGAGACAGGAGCGGGTCAACATGGTGTGGCTACAGCCACTGTGTGTGCCCGTTTTGGTCTTGAGTGTATTATCTATATGGGTGCTCAAGATATGGAGAGACAAGCACTCAATGTGTTCAGAATGCGACTTCTTGGTGCCGAGGTGATGCTTAAGATTCATCTCCATCTCTTTTAAATGTGATAAAACTTTGTTTCTGAACTTTTTTTCGGGGTTTCTGGTGTTATAGGTGAGAGGAGTTCACTCTGGAACAGCAACATTGAAAGATGCAACATCTGAAGCGATAAGAGATTGGGTGACAAATGTGGAGACTACCCATTACATATTGGGATCTGTGGCGGGTCCTCATCCTTACCCCATGATGGTCAGAGACTTTCACGCTGTGATTGGTAAAGAAACAAGGAGACAAGCGTTGGAGAAATGGGGCGGGAAGCCAGATGTCTTGGTGGCTTGTGTCGGTGGTGGTTCAAACGCTATGGGACTCTTCCATGAATTTGTAAATGACACAGAGGTCCGGATGATCGGTGTGGAAGCAGCGGGATTCGGATTGGACAGTGGCAAACACGCTGCTACATTGACAAAGGGAGATGTCGGTGTTCTCCATGGAGCTATGAGTTACTTGCTGCAAGATGATGATGGACAAATCATTGAACCACACTCAATTAGTGCAGGGTAAGTGAAATTCTCTATTCGGTAATGTGGGACATAGCTATCATAAGTAGAGATGTTGTGATGAGCTAGCCCAGCTTGGTCCATACTAAGCCCAGCTCTGATTTGGCCCGTGGTTAACCCAATTAATATAAAGGAAATTGATGGGTCTTGGCCTGGCCAGGCTGCAGGTTGATTGATCCATGGCGGGCTGTTTCGTGGGGATTAAGCCCATCACAACATTCTTATTCATATGTTTGAATGTAGATTACCGAATAGTCTACTCAATTAGCCATGGTTGCGCATGAACACGGTTTGATTTTCTCTTACAGATTGGACTACCCTGGAGTCGGACCCGAGCATAGTTTTTTTAAAGACATGGGACGGGCTGAATACTATAGCATAACCGACGAAGAAGCGTTGGAAGGTAATGTACCAATGCATAGTCTTTAGTTCTGTATTCGGAAATCTGTTCTTTGTTTCATAGCTTACCCTTTGCATTCCCTTTGATTTGTGGTCTGTAGCGTTCAAGAGAGTGTCGCGGTTAGAAGGAATCATTCCAGCGCTGGAGACCTCACACGCACTAGCTTACCTCGAGAAGCTGTGTCCCACATTATCGGACGGAACGAGAGTAGTATTGAACTTCAGCGGAAGAGGAGATAAAGATGTTCAGACAGTGGCTAAATATCTTGATGTTTGAAAGAGAAACACTTATGTTTGTTTTTTCAGTTATTCAAGACAATGAAATCCTTTTTGTACTTGTAATCTGTTAAGTACTTTGCTTCTCTCTGGTCACGACGTTTCCAACAAAATTGGAAATAGAAAAAGATTACGAAGAGAGCAAAACTTGAATAAATGTATCATGAATAAAAAAAACATTTCATATTCTTGAAAGAGCTCGAATGTTTCGTTTCTCAATTTGCTTTCTTTTTGGTTTTCAAAATGAAATCCTACTTTTGCAGATACAAACATGGAATATTATCTCAGAACTCTACTACAGCTTCTTTAATTTCATAATAGATGTTAACATTGGAAAGAGGTCCAATTGCTAGAAGACATATATTCGCATATACTCATATAGCATCTGCCAAAGTCATGTTCCCCTTAAGATTTAAGAAAAAAGAGAAGTGGTGACTTTGATGTATGAAAATAATAATATAAGCAATAGAGAGAGAATCTTGTTTGAGTATATTCTTCACCAAACATATCTCTCTGCCTCTTCTGAAATCCCAAGAGACATGTCTCTCTCTTTTCCGAGTCTGAACCAAATCTAATGCCTCCCTCCGTGTCCATGCATTAGCATTACTTTTGTCTCGGTGTCGGTGGTTTCTTTTTGTCAATAGAATACTCTCCATTACTCTCCAAGATATAACTTCGACATCAGCTTTTTCCGACATAACTAGAGCATGAAAGTTAAAAGAAAATGTACTGATTTCTCTCTTTATGACAGCAAAGCAGAATAATCTCGAGATAATATTCTCACTTTTTAGTAATATTTCTCTCCTAGTTGAAAAGAGAGTTTCAGGGTGTCTTATTCTCAAAGGGGACAAATATCTATTTCCCACTTTAGTTACAAAGAGGCAATCTTCTCACTTCCCCCAAATTAAAAAAAAAAAAAACTCAAATTAAAAACTGCCTAACACACTCTAAACACTGTAGTGTGAGTGTCCATTCTCATCATTTCTTTCATTATTGAGGACAAATATCTACATTAAGCTCTTTTCCCGGTTTTAACCGAAATCACGAGCTCAACACCAGACCCGGACACCCTTCTGTCTTCCGAATCAGAGCTTTGCCTGCACATCACGCGCAAACCAGGATAACGAAACATTAAACGCCGAATCAAGAATCTTGATTCTTGAATTATTAGTGCGGCATTACACCAAACCAATAAACTAAAGACGGTTTCTTGATAATGTGGAAGAAGATAGCGTTATGTGACTTAAGTCTCATCATGTGGGTGTGAATTGAAGCCAAAGACTTATTTATCATTTATCATTTCGATAATAAGGATATTTTGGTCAATATAAGGTTGTGTTTACCTGGGAATACAAGAAGGTTCCAAGGATAGCAATGGCGGCTCCAAGGGCGTTAACGGGCTGGACTGGAGTGCGGAAGATAATGATGGATGAGACAATGACAGATATACGTTTCATGGTGTTACCAACACTAAATGTCAAGGGAGAGATTTGGTCTAAAGACATGTAAGACACTTGGTTGTAGAGGTGATAGAACACACTCTGCGCAGCCACCCACCTGCAAATTTGATTGAAGAAAAAGTGGAATCGGATAAGCGAATGAGATGGATTCATTGGCCTAATCACTAAAAAGACTCCAGGATTGTTAATCATTTGGATGATAACAAAAAATTTGAGAGCTAAAGACAAGAACTTAACAAGTGGGTCATTCACAATGGATTCTAGGAACAGGACAAGTATGCATTAAACACGTAACAAAACTATCTTTCGAGTTTAAAAGAGTTGTCTTTTCGTAAGAGATTGTAGAGGGAAATTACCAGACAAACTGTGGTCCGACAGTAGCGAGCGCCGTTTGCCAGCCATCGACCCACATCTGAGGTCCTTCAACCGCAATCGCAAAGGGAGTGAGGATCAATAGGGACAACATTGAGAGACAGGCGTAGTAGTTCATTCCGCTCACAGACTTTCCCTTCATTCCCTTCTTCGAGAAGATGTTACGGAAGACGAAAGCCAAGTTCGAAATCATAGCTCCCATAAAACCTGAAAAGCAGGATTGCAGATTTAAAGCCAATATCAAACATGCAAAGCCATTTCAAATCAGTCGCAATTACACATCAATGCATCAAATATATGATATATCTAACAAAAAAGATTAAGAAAAAGCATAGGATACATGACCAAACGTATCAATAGATATATGTTACCAATCATGTTGAAGTTAAGCTCGGTAAGGGCAGACAGAGCGCAACCACCGATGATTGGAATGAGGGACAAGTAAACCGAAGTAGGGAAGGTTTCACCCAAAAGGAACCTCGAGACAAGCACGCTAAACGCTGGTTCACCACTCTTGATGATGTGAGTGAACGAAACCGCAACCTTTGACATACTCACCGTTGCAGCCACATGACCAATTGTATGTGCCACAGCAACCTATACACACTCAAACAAAAACCACTTTTACTACAACAAAATATCAAAAAGTTCAATACTTTAAACAAGAATGATTTACTAGAAGCTAAATAATAACAAGCTGATTTTGTTGACACTTGAATTTTCAGAATTTAGCTATTAAAATTCAGCAGCCTATGAACACAAACACAGCCAAAAAAACATCACTTTCTTCTCTCTCCATAAGTTTTTTCTTAGGAAGCAAACAAAACTATGCAAATCACTCAAGTAACAAAAAAACAACAAATATTCCTGCAAGATCTGCATCAATTTGACCTTAAACCTCAATACCCATCATCGTAAACATCGAAATCAAACCTAAAGTTTCAACCTTTTTTCCCAAAATTTTCTCACCAACCCACCAAACTTCGTTTCCCCACCAACCCACTTACCGGAAAAAGAGTTTTCCAGAAATCAAAATCAGTCTTTGGAGTCTCAACGATCCCAACAGCCCAAGAGATTAGCATCATCAACGAACCAGCGGCAAGAGAAAGCGTCGACGTAAGCCATGGGTAAGGATAAGCGTTCAAGACCTTCTTGTTGTAGATATTGAACACAACGTTCAAAGCCCACCAAGTAGCAAAGTAAATCCCGATCTTCAATTTCTTAGCCGCCTCTGATTTCGTTTCCGCCGCCGCAGCATCATCGATCGGCTGAGGCTCTGATCGGTCAGCTTCATAAGCTTCACATCTCACTACCGGAGACTTAGCTCTCAGAGAAGAGAGATGAAGCGGCTTTGAGACGGCTAAAACGGTACGTTTTGGAAGCTCCGTCGATGGAAACGAGAGAGAAACAGGAGATCTTCGTAGTGAGGAAGAAGGGTTTCGTCGGAAAAGTCCGATCTTCGTAGGGAGGGTTTGTTTCGCCGACAAAACCATCGCCGGAGGTTTTTTCGTCGAATAAAAAAAAAAATTAAAAGTTGAAAACTTTCTATCAAAGAGAACTTAATTTAGGCACAGATCGCAAAGATATTGGATCAAGTGTTTTGACCTAGAATCTAAAACAGAAGAAGAATTCAAATGAGAGAGATTTTAAGTAATTAGATGATCGCAATACTTAGAGAAAGAGAAATATAATATAAAAAAAAAAAAACTAAGGAGTATATAAGTATATATGCTTACATGTTGCAGAGAACACTATTGAACTTCTTTTTAAGAAAAAAATAATGTTTTATATTTTTCTTAAAGCATTGTTATTTGTTGACAAAATACATACAAAGTTATGTACTTTTGGTTCACGAATTATTGTACTTTCAAATAGGTTTTGGTTTAGTTTCAGTTTGGTATTTTTGGTTTTATAGGTTCATAAGAAAAATGTTAACTTATTCGAAAAACAAAAATCTCTATATTATTAAAAGAGAAGTACAAATGTAAATGGGTCGGGTCAAAATCAGAAAATTGACCCAAACTTCTGAAATCGGATCTTTCAATTTTTTTTGGATTATGATTTCTAATTAATATTAAATAATAAAAAATCAAACTAAAATAAAATATTTATTGAAATCAAATTAAATATGATTGTATTTATGGTAACTAATTATAAAATCATATTCCGAACAATACTATACATTAATTACGTATAATATATTTGTTCATATATTTTTGGAACTAATTCCATAATAATCAACGTTTTTGTCATTAATTTTGCTTATTTTAGCCAATTAGCATTAATTGAAAGATATCTTACTTGCTTCAAAAGATTTCTAGAAAATTTATCACAACTAACCCATCTATTTTATAAATTAAATAGATATTTTTATTTTGGTCGTGTAAATTAAATTTAATTAAATTAAACGAAATTATGGTATTTTCATATTTATAACTTACCAAAGAAATTTAATTTTAAAATTATAAAGATTTCTTGAATATGATTTTTAGAATTATTCAACAAGATGATAAATATTTATTAAATTTTGCGAATCATGAAAAATAATAATTAATTATTAATCGTTATATTTCACCTTTCAAATTTTCAATATCTCATCTAAGAAATAGGATATAGATTCTATTATTCCTATGTCCAAACTCTATTTTGTTGTATGACTAAATAATATTCCCACTAGAGCTGTCAAAGCGAGTTGATTCATCCCGTTAAGCCCGTTTTGTGATAGACAAAATATATTTTGACATATAGTTAGTTGGTCCACACGACCCGCAGATAGCATATATGAAAACACAAATCCGTCCCGCGAATGTATGCTGATTTGCGGGGTTGTCCGTGGATTTTGTTTAAATAATTTTAAAGTAACGAAATTTTTAAATACTACTAAAATAAATAAATAAATAAAAATTAGAGGAAATAATTTTATATCTCATTATATTTATGAATATTATAATTTCATTTATTAAAAAAATTTTAAATTACCAAATGTTGAATAAATTATACTTTTATCAATAAATACTAACATGCGGGCTGATCCGCCAACCCGCGGACGAAAACCGATAAAAACCTATGATCCACTGCGAATCAATCCGTGTGGCCCGTTTATTTACGGGTTTAATATATTTTCACAAATATGCCCCATAGTGAGCTGATTTGGGCTCGACCCACGGTTTTTGACCTATTTTTACTGCTCTAATTCCTATGAATCATCTAATTTTAGAATTCTAAAACATAAAATTCTATTTTTTAATCATAATTAATATGATCGGTTTAATTATAAACAATTTACATTTTCTCTACAATTCGTTATTATGAATATTTATAAGTACACTATCCGATTCGCTCTACTTAAAACACGTACTATTAAAATCAACGTATGTAAACCAATATTCTTCCGCGGTGGACCGCGGGTCCGATCCTAGTATATGTACTAAATAGGCAACTTCTAGAGGTTTATTTGTAAAAATAATGTGGTGATATCAAATTTCGATCAAAAATGAATGTTAATCTATTATTTTTATAACCTTGGAATGTATTACGACAATTGATATATATCAATGTACTATAAAATCATTTGTTACCATAAAATTATTTTTTACCTAGTTTTTTTTTTTTTTTTTTTTTTTTTTGTCATTAGAAATTAATTAAAGCTCAAAAGAGTCATTACTGGGGAATGTTGTTTACATATGTGATATGAAGCGGTTCTGTACGAACTTTTCGTGCCAGATTATCCGCTTTAACATTAGCTCTTCGAGAAATTAAAGATAAAGAAAAAGATAAAAACTCTTCTTTCTCGCTATGAAATTCCTCCAAATACACTGAAAACGCCGGCCATTCGGTTGGAGAAGACACCATCTTCACCAGGTCTGAACAGTCTGTAAAGAACGCTACCTCTTGATGATCTGCACCAATCATACACTTCATCGCCCAGAGAAGGGCCTCGACTTCGGCATGGAGTGGAGATAGACTTCTACGGAGGTTCGCACCTCCCATGGTTGGCGGTTCTCCATTTGACGATGTACAGAACCATCCTGTACCGGAGAACTTATCACTTTCTTTCCATGATCCATCCACAAAACAACGGTATCCAGAATAATTCGACTCAAGTAAAGCATCCCTCACTCGAGTTCGATTCACCAAGTCCATAGACCCATGATTTTCATTATGGAGCTCAATTTGAGCTGACTGCCACAATTGTGCCTCTTTTTCCGCTAATCGTAATACCTCTATTGGGTCTTTGTCTAAATTTTCAAAGATCTTTTCGTTCCTTGCTTTCCAAATATACCAAATAATCCATGGGAAGGCTGATGAATCAAATTCCGAAGGTATTCTCCAAAATAAATGATCCAAATTCGCAAAAATTGATTCTGTGGGAAAAATCCCTATAGTCGTAGGAATTCTGTGAAAGTGCCCAAATCTGCCGTGCCAGGTGGCACTGAAAGAGTGTATGATTGATCGTTTCCTCTATTGCGCCACATCTAGCACATCCCGTGTCACAATCAATTCCTCTTTTTCGCAAATTTTCCGTAACCGGTACACAACCCGTTAAGATTTGCCACAAGAAATGGCGTATCTTAGGTGGACATTGCACTTTCCAAGAATGTGCTTTTAGAAATTTGATGTCAGGGCCAAAAAAAGGTAAATTGGTCTCCGACTTTTCTATCCGTATGGTATGATATCCCGATTTAACTGTATATTTTCCGGATTTTGTAAAATGCCAACCCAAAGAATCTTCCTTTGTTGGTGCACCCACAGGTATGGCGCTTATTAGCGCGACATCTTCTGGATCAAAGATCGCTTTTAAGAGATCAATATTCCAAAAATTCGACCGACTATCTATAAGATCGTTAACTTTTAATGATGGGTCAGCAATTGAACCATTACTTTTTGCTGGTCTCGGGAATTGAGCTGGAATCCAGGGATCCTCCCAAACCGAGATGGATGTCCCAGATCCGACTCTTTTAATAAGTCCTTTATTAACCAGAGATCTAGCTGAACATATACTCCACCATCCATATGATGGAGAATATGATTTTATATTTTCCAAAGGATTGGATTTCCTAAAATATCTTCCTTTAAACACCTTTGTGAAAAGAGAATCAGGAACCATGATCAACCGCCATAATTGTTTTGCTAGTAAAGCTGAATTAAAATCGTCAACGTTCCGAAACCCTAATCCCCCTTCTGATTTGCTATTACACAATTTATTCCAAGCCATCCAGTGCATACCTCTGGAATCACCATTTGAGCTCCACCAAAAATTAGCAACCGCACTAGTAAGTTTAGAAGTGATTGTTTTTGGTAATCTGAAGCATGACATAACATAAGTTGGTAATGCTGCAGCTACCGATTTTATCATCACTTCTTTTCCCCCTTTTGATAAAAATTTTACCGACCATCCGTTAATCCTTGTTTGTAGTCTATCTCTGACAAAAGAGAAGATTTTTGTCTTCGATCCCCCTAAACTCTCCGGCAATCCAAGATAAGAACCCATTCCACCGATATTAGTGGTACCTAAGGTAGATTTGATTTCTTCCTTAATATCATCATCTACCTTATGCCCAAACTGAATCGAAGATTTTAAAAAATTAATCTGCTGTCCCGAGACCGCTTCATACTTCTTTAAAATCTCCAAAATTACCCCACATTGGTCCTTGTTAGCCTTGCAAAAAAATAAACTATCATCCGCAAATAACAGATGTGAAACTGAAGGGCTTGCATTTGCTACTTTGATACCCGTAATTAATTTTTCCCGTTCAGCTTTTCGAATATTTGCAATTAGCACTTCAGTGTACAAGATGAATAGATAAGGTGAGAGCGGGTCTCCTTGTCGTAAACCCCTCTCTGGTACTATTAGTCCTCTAGGTTGTCCATTAAGAAGAACTCTATATTGGACCGTTGTAATACACCACATTATCCACTTAATCCATTTTTCACAGAAACCCAATTTTCTTAAAACCTTCTCTATGAAAATCCATTTCACCCTATCATAAGCTTTACTCATATCCTTTTTAATGGCCATAAATTTTCCTTTACATGATGGGTTAGTTCTCAACCCATGAAACATCTCTTGTGCAATGAGAATATTATCTGAAATCATTCGTCCTTCTACAAAAGCCGATTGTGTTTCCGAAATCAGTTTTGGTAGCACCGTCTTGAGTCTTTGGCAAAGAATCTTTGATATAATTTTGTACCCAACATTGCAAAGACTGATAGGCCGTAATTCCGTCATCCGTGTCGGTCTTTCCGTTTTTGGAATCATACAAATATTAGTCGTGTTTAACCGTTTATCAAAAATTTCATCCTCTAAAAAAGAATTAACCAGAAAAAGAAGGTTTGTTTTAATAGTAACCCAAGCCTTTTGGAAAAATAAGGCTGTCATTCCATCAGGACCTGGTGCTTTTTCCGGATGCATCATAAACAGAGCCGTTCTCACCTCACATTCCGTTGCGGGTGCCGTTAGAAAATTATTAATCTGATCCGTAATCAGAGATTGAACTTCTGCCAAGGATTCCTCAAAAGCCTCAGGCTTAGTTGTAGTAAACAGTTCCTGAAAATAAGATACTGCTATATTTTGAATATCTTTATCCTCTGCAAACCAAATTCCGTTTTTATCATGTAGCCCCGTTATTCGATTCCTTGCCCGTCTTTGTTTTGTTAGAGCATGAAAATACTTTGAATTATTATCCCCTAGTTGCCTCCAAGAGCTTCTAATTTTCTGATGCCAATACAATTCCTCATCTCGATAA